GAGGAAGCAGCGCGGCCGAGCGGCGGGAGAGGGGGAAGGCCGCCGCGCTTGGGTGGGGGTGAGTGATCTCCGTGCCGAAAAATGAATGTTCCCAAGGTGTCGGGCAGGTGATGATTGAATCTCGGACGCGGGCCCGCGTGTGTGACGGAGCGAGGAGAGGGAAGGGGGTCGTGGCGGGTGCGTTGAGCGTAAGGTGGTTGTGATGTGCTCTGTTTGATAACGTGCAGCTGGAGGAATTTACAAGTGATGCAACTAATTCGTTGGAAGAGGGTAGTAGGACGGTCATTCGCTCTCGTTCGGTAATGGAATTGAACGTTTAGGATTGGGGCAGAGTGACTCTCCCAGGGTGTTACATTGTTTTTCTGGGTTTTTTGGTTTTGGTTTGTTTTTTTTTCTTGTAATCGCTGTCCACAATGAGCTTTAAGGAGCTGGGTTGAAGGTGCTCTAGGGTTCATTGTGAATACTCAACGTTTGTTACTATAAAATATGTTTTTATTGTTGTGCGCTATATGAACCAGGTATATGATAATAAATGAACTATTGTGTTAAATTGAAAGGTCCAGGGTCATCGAGAGTTGGGATAACTATGTAAACAGTGCTGTAAATGCAGTTCTTTTGACCTTCGGTAGATGTCAGATTCTTGCCATGTTGTAGTTCAGATATTTTTTTTTTTAAACTTTTTCTCTTCTTTTATTTCTGTTTCCTCATCTATTGGCAGGGTTGAAGAATCGATTAGCGGTGGTTTTCCGAGCTGAGGTTTAAACCTTTTCCGGGGTTCTGGCATGATGGGGGAAAATAGTATAGGAATACAGTAAATTAAAGATTATAAGATTCATGTGGGTATGCTATTAGGAGTAGGAAATCGAGTTGATTGCAGTTGGTATTGACCACAAAGCCGCCATTTCTGTATTTCAGTTTGTGAGTAGGTAGGTCATTTCGAAGATAATGCTGGGAGTGGCAGAGGGCCCTATTCAAAACGTTTCCTTTCTGCTTCCATGTGGTTAATAACTTCTCTTGGTCACGTGGCCCCTCGTTTGTGCTCTCAGGGCTGTATAAAAACCACCGAAAGAGGCTTAAATCCGAACTGAATGGCCCTACCTGAGAAACGACTGATTTACGATATTTATTGTAGTTTGAACACCGCTTTCCCGGCTCACGTTTCAGCCATGGAGGCCAGATGTGAACAAAAAGGGGCGTGCCTGAAAGCATGCGTGTCTGCTGGAAGTATTAACCGCCCTAAGCTGAAGAGAGTATTAATTGGTGCAGTTTCCTTCGAGTAGTGCTGCTTGCTTGACCCTCCACGAGATGAAATTTTAGAGTGTCCTTCTGAGTTAAAAGAATAAATCAGCCTTCCCTGCTGTTTTGTTTCTTGCTTCCCTACTTAACATTGCAATTTCAAAAACTTGAGGAGTTGGGGGAGGGGAGCGGACAGATGTGGAGTGTGAGTTTTATTCTGCTTTCTACTTTATTTCCTTCTGCTTTTTCAAGTAGATGGTGTAAAAAGGCTGACTGGATGTTGAGATGGAGCCCTTAAAATGATTCGTTAGTGTAGTAGTACTAACAAAATGATTTTTTTTTACTTCAAAATATAATTAAAATACTCGGGTGTTTTGAAGTTAACATATTCCTGTATAGAAGTAAGCAAAATTGCTTGACGTTACTTGCAAATAGGCATTTCTAAACAAAATATTTTCCTTGTCTTTATGCTACTGTAGGACTTTCAATTAATCAGTAATTGGTTAGGTTGAGGCACAGGTTTGTCTGGCTCTTCACTTTTGATTATGACTTAAATATGTAAGGCATAAAACAAATTCTTATTTACACATGAAGTTATTAAGAGCAGACTTGACTTCTAGCTTACTCTAAGGAGTAGGTTGGTGGGATGTATAGGGGGTGTTTCTGGAGGAGTTTCAGATCATATCTTTCTGGCTACGCACATAGGTCTGGTGTAACTTTTTGAGGGATCTTGCAGCTGTCCAGATTTCTGGCTATTTCTCAAGTGAGCAGTTTTATATGAGATTTATAGATTCATAGAAGATCCTGAAAAGGAGGGTGAATGGCAGCGGAGCTGCTGTAGAGGAGAGGGAAGGACTAAGTGTTAGAAGACTGTGAGAAGAGGGCAATAAACTTGATCAGGTACTTCCAACATGTGGGGATGCTGTGAAAAGGTTAGAGAGTATAATTTGCCATCCATAATTCTGTGGTTCCTGGATTATTTTCTTGCTTTTCACGATTGCCTTTATCTTGTACCAGTCTCTGGCTGGTAAGCATCTTAGATGCACGCCCACAATCGCACACACCCCACCTGACTTCCTTTGCATAATATTGAGGCTGCTATATCTAGGACAAAGAGTTAATGCATGTTTTGCTGGTTTTATGGGACCTGAAACTTCCAGTAGAATTCCACTTCAGTTTGAAGTGATCTGAGGTGGTACATGGAGTAACCTGCTAACTTAATGCTCCCCTTCACCCTCTCAGAGTGCCTTTAAACAGTCAGCATAGTTTCGATGGTAATTTTTTACTTATATGTAGTTAACTTGTAAGTTTCTTTTCCCCAGGTATTTGAAAAATGCCCTCTGGCTAATTTCTTGCTGTGTATGTAGATCATGCTTCAGTTCCAGAATCAATTGTTTAAAAGCTGTTAGAACTGATCTTCTAAATGTGCATGTTGACCTGGGAAACTCAACAGTTGACTGAGATGGCTAGTGCAGGTTTTGGTTGTGATGATACTAGGTGTTTCTACTAGCAAACTTACTGGTTTACATGTGTTTAGGGACTCGTAGGGGTGGTTACCTGCTTTGAGATAAGTTTTAGCTTGCTGATAATATAGCCCATTGACCAGTCAAACTGATTATATGTTATACCTGCTGAAGACCCTGAGAATTTGGTTAGGGTACTGCTGTGTGAATTTTTCAGAGGGAGTTTGTCCTGCTACTTGCTCAACAATTGACAGTGTTGTGTTGAGTGCTTGTGTAGTGCTGTGAACATAGCTCATATCATTCAAATGAGATGCAAGTGCTTCAACTTAAGTTTAACAACTACGTCTAATAGTAAGCTCTTATTCATTGATCAATTTTTTACTTATTTTTCAGTAATCTATGCCAGCAATTATGACAATGTTAGCAGACCATGCAGCTCGTCAGCTGCTGGATTTTAACCAGAAACTGGATATCAATCTCTTGGACAATGTGGTGAACTGCTTGTACCATGGAGAAGGCGCACAGGTAATGTGGACTTGGAACCTACATTTATTGATTGTGTTTAACCTTACAACAAAGAGGTTGAGCAAAATTAATTCACTTCAAGACCAATCAGTAATATTAGTGAGTTTACCCTGCTAGTTTACCCTGGAGCATCACTGGTATTTCATGTGCTTGGATTTAAAGGCGGGTCTTGTAATGAATGTTCGAATGGCACTTGGAAGAATGTTAGTTTAGTCTGTGTTCACTTCTAGCATTTCTGCTGTTGAAAGGTATTAGCAAGTACAGTTTGGTAAGGGAAGTTCTGTTTGGAGCTTGTCCTCTCTGACTTAGTTCTTCAGGAAGGTCTGAGTTACCTGTTACCTGTTATCATGGACAGGATTGCGAAGCCGGAAATTCGATGTTGGTCTCTGTGAAGGATTGTATTTAAAAGAAAAACATTAATGGTGTTGTTACTGTATTTGTACTTGTAAAGAAGCATGTCTCTCACATTTAAGAGAAGAGTTTGTCCTTTTGTGTTTAGTTTTTCCCCATTCTGTTTGCCTGCATACGTGGTTCTTGCGCTCTTTTTGTTAGACTTCATGCAGGCCAAGAAATCTGAATATAAACTGGTGGGAAGGTGTGCGTTTGTGTGTTCGCATATATAGTCTTGAAAGCAAGTCTTATATTGCTTTTATCTATTTCTTGAAATACTTTGGAAATAAGACTTAAATGTTGAAAGCAGGTATTGCTACCAGGTGTTGGCATAGTTTCTCTTCTGGCAAGTTTTAATCATTCATGCTTAACAAATTGGGAGTTTCAGTGCCAGGCATCTAAGATACACTTGCACAACAGCAACAGGTGAACTCAAATGAGTCAAAGTAGCTGAAACTTTTCTATTCCTTCCATCTGTTAGAACAAATAATATACTTGCTTGTACTAGTTTTATATATCTCTATAAAACAAACAAAAAAACCCCAATAAACAAAAAAACATTTGTAAGGCTTACTATATGAATTCCTGCATTTTCTGAAATATCTTGCTGTTTTTTGAAATATTTGCATTTCAAGTTCCCTAAATTCAGATAGTTCCTAGCTGTAGTTTTTCAAATGATCATATGACAGAAAACTGCTTGTAGCTTTGGCTTAAAAGTATGGACTTCTGAGAGCTTGTTTTGTGATAAGTTTGTTTACTGTACTGCTGTGCAAAATAGATGGTGCTTATTATTACTGCTGGGTTTGAATGGAGTTTAAAAAGTTGGGAAGGTTTACAAGGAGAGTAAAGGATTCATGCTAAATACAATGATAAAATTGCCATTGTTCTGGTATTGTGAGAAGTGGCTTCACTTAAATCAGCTGGGTATAGTCTCTGGTATTCAGAAAGTTCATGCAATAAGAAGCCAAAATTAATCTTAACTGGCAACAGTAAATTATAACATAAGCTTCTTTTAAAGACACGTACTAATATGTGTTAGTTGATAGAAAATGTGATTTTCTCCTCTAGTACATTTCTGAAGGTAGACATGTATTTCAGTGAGTCTGTGAGCTCTTGCCTTTTCCAAGGGGTTGAAAAGTTCCTGTAGGAAAAAATGCTTCTCTGAAGGTTAACAGCTCAAATCATGTCTTAAAGGGTGACAGGAATAATAGAAGTTGAAGAAACTAAATGTTAAAGTTGCAAGAATAACAGTGTTTTTTTCTGGAATAGATTAGGGTAATGTTAGAGTAAAAAAAGGTCTTGAGTGCAGCCTACATGGCCCATGCTGAACTTGATTTCAGATTCACCACTCTCCTCCTGCCTAATTCTTATCACTGCTTGTAAATCTCTTATTTGTTGATCTGTAATAGGCAAGAAAGAAGCTTTGTTCTAGACTTTTTAATCTTTTTTGGTATACTTCTCTGAAAAGAAAGGCTGTCCCCAACCCCACCCCCGTGCAACACATGACTAAGGAGACCTCATAGATGCCTGCCTGGACTGATGCCAGACTCTTAATTCCATTGGTCTGTTAAACCTTCACGTGTCCAGAAGGTTTATTTGCTAACTGTTTTTCTCTTTGATAGCAGCATCACAGTGATGCTTCAATCTTGATTAAGCATTGATGTTTAATTTATACTGGTTTTATGAAACGACTGGAATTGATGCCCAGAAAAGGGGTTAGTGGGTATGAGAGCAAACTTGTCAGTGCTTGGGAGAAGGGTATGGAGCATCTTTTTATTGTTGGTGTTGAAATTTGATCTTGTGATATGTCACCAGTATTACAAATGCTAATGAGACCAGTATAAAAACACACCCACTTGAACCTGGAAGTAATACAGCTGTTCTTTCCCTGTTACACGAAACTGCATCAAAGGTGCTGCTGTTTTTTGGTTTGGGTTTTTTTTTTTGCGTTTTTTTAAAGCTCTGATGTCATACTGGAGAATACAGTTGTACTGCTTTTGGAATTAAAAGGAATATTTGTGTGGTACTTCTCCATCTCAAATCTACAAAGACTTACTTGCTAGTCAAAGTCATTATCAGACTGGGAATTGCTTCGCTATGCTCAATTATATTAGGTAGGGATGCCAGTATTGTACAGGTATTTTAGACATCTTTGCTCTTTACTGTTGTAGCTTTCAATTTTGATTTGGTAAATCCCATTTGACTGTTTCTCGCATTATATGCTATAGAGATTTTTGGGTCTTGATGGGGTTTCTGTCTCACTGAAAAATAAATGTTTTCTTATACCAGTTGATTAGCTCGAGTATGTTCTTGTAGACTCAGGTATGTTCTAGCGGACAAATTTGCACAGCTGTAGTAAGTTTAACTGTTGAAGTTAATCCTGAAGTAAAGCTTTAACTGCTTTGTAATTCTGTTGAATTGGCTTGACAGTGCAGTGAAAGAGTGAGCTAAGCTCTCTTATTGTGAGGTACAATGTTCATCTTGGTGGTAGGCTGCATCTGATGCTTGTAGGTGATACCATTTGCAGCAGGATTTGTCAGTACACTGCATTTTTGGAAACAGCTTTCATAATTTGGCTCTCTAAAAATGTGCTTATGGCCATCCAGGCTTTTGAATATGGTAGCTAAAATTAATTTAGCTATTCCAGTGTGTGATTGCTTCAGATGAGGTTTTGTATCTAGTACAGTAATTGGTAATGTCAGTCCCAAGGAAGAACAAACCCATTAGCATGACCAACTGCCTTCCTCCCCTCCCCCCCAATCAGTTTTTATTACTGTTTTGTAAGATGTTAGATCCATCAAGGGATTCCTCAGAAGCAGGGATTGGAGACCTCTAATGCTCTGCTCTGTGGTTGTTCAAAATCAAATCAACAAGTTCCTACATCAACAAATTTCCAGTATGATACAATAGTACTTAAAGCTGGCATTTTGTATGAATGCTTCCAGTAGAACTAGAATGTTTGGGTGCCCTTGGAAAAAAACTTAATTAGATGATTTTCTTGAAGGGGAGAAAACTTCATTCCCTAGTATGGTTTCCCTATAATGTGTGCTGTTCTCACATGTTCACTGCTGGTCTAGATGAACCATTCAGTATGGAAGAGGGGAAGTAAGTAAATGACTGTCTTGCATCAGTGTGTTTTTGGAGTTTAGTTGTTAGTAAACTGTCAGGCAGAAGGAGGCTTAAGGGACTTGTTGCTCCTGATAGAGTTCTACCTAACTATTGGATAAGTGATTTAAAGATGTGTTAATGTATTAATGTCTTCACTGACAGTATATATTTTCTTAAATAATCTAATACTATTTTTCACCCAACTTGCTTTTAGCAAAGAATGGCACAGGAAGTCTTGACTCACTTAAAAGAACATCCCGATGCATGGACAAGAGTTGATACTATTTTGGAGTTCTCTCAGAACATGAATACCAAAGTAAGCAAATTAACTTTTATTTATTTGGTTTTCCTCTTTCTTCCATTCATAAACTTTGAGGAAGGTATCTCATTTTTAGCCATAGAGTTTCTTGATTCAAACCACATTTTTTTAATTGTTTTGTTCCCAAAGTTGGCTTTAAACAAGAATTGTAAACAGAGAAAATATTTAAACCTCCTTTTACATTGAAAAAGAGTTTTTCTTCTTTTTTTTTTTAAAAAAAAGGAAGAGCTAAATTGAAAATACAGGGTGGGTTGTTTTTTTTTTTTAAGGCACATACAAGCGTAATGCCAGTTTGAAAGATTGATGTGTGTGTCTGTATACATCCATGTAATGAAAAGTCTCCTAGAGCCACATTTTGTCCTTGGCTAAGTGCTTGGCTGGTTTTGATCATGATGAGAGCCATGTGCATGTAACTGAGGAGAGAACTTGTCCCTAGGTGTATTGAAGACAAAATACAAACCTTGTTAGGCCCAGATATTGAGTAATCCATGAAAGTTAAAGCACCCCAAACTCTTTGCAGTATGAGATCAGTTTTTACTAATATACAGAACACATTTGCTTTGTACTGCTGTTTTAAATCCATCCATCATGGTAGAGACTAAAAGGGACAGCATTCAGTTTTTTTCTACAATTTTAAATGCTTTAACTAAGGCTGCTGAAGTTTGAACTGAAAAGTTGATCGAAATGTGTTTTCACTGTCTTAAGTTTGATGATTATTATCTCAAATAACTGACATGCATGTTTTTCTGCTTGATACACACTGTGTTCGAACAGAAAACAATCGTGTTTGGATGGTTTCTGAAATCAGGCGGTATTCATGAAACGGTTCAATTTTTTTCATTGCTCTCTGAAGTTTAGGGGAGAACAGTTTAAAGAACTTCCTCAAAGTGCTAACCTTTAAGTAACAGTGTTTGCCTGTTTGCTTGCCTGGTAAACTTTGCTTTTTATACTGACAGACATTACTAATGTTTAAGTTGATTTATCAACAGTATTTTTAAAAACTCAAATTTGTCTTGTGAAAAATGAGATGATTAGAGGAACAGAAAGAAAGCAACAGGTAAAGAATTCTTCAATTTACATAAATTGCAAATGATTTGGTGCTAAATTTATGCACTATGACATTTGGCTTATATGCAATCATATTTTTTCTTTAATTAAAGCTGTTAACACTACCTGATATTAATCATAATGTTCCATTATGTTGATTGCTTGTAATAGGAAGAAAAGGGGTGTCTTCCTGTGCAACTGACACAGCTAGGCTTTGACGGCAGGCCTCCACAAGGTCTACCCTTTTGATTCCCTTTAACTGAATTCTGTTCATCAATTGTTTTTGTTTCTTGGGAGGTGGGAGGGAAAGGGATTCGGTGCATAGAATAAGTAATAATAAGGGTACCATAGAGATTTCTACCATAGGGATCATTTCATACTTCTTTCAGTCTCTGCTGTTGCCTGTCCCTCATCTTCATAACTGGACAGTGAATTGCTATTAGACCACTAGAAATAAGCAAAAGAGCAACTGAATTTTGGAAGACTTTTATATGTAGTTTAAATGTGTTCGCATGGTTTGTTGCAATAGTTGATTAACAAGTACTCTTGTTATAGTTCAAAAGGCAAAACTACTCATTGCTGTCAGTGACTCTGGGGCTTGGTGTATCTGGTTATCAGGGAAATATCCAAAATCAGAACCATCAAATGAAATTGAGCTTAAAACCAAAATAAAAACCCCCAAAAGCCCCTTGTGGAGTGTTCAGGCAGGCTGATAAAGCATTCAGACATGGTATAGCAAGAAGGATGTGTAGGTGAAGATTACATACAGTGATTTTATTACTACTGCCATTTCATTTCACATGTGAGGGTTAGGAAAAATGAGTAGTACTAGTATGGAGGAAGAGATGAACAAGATGCTAGCCGGGGGCAGGACTTCATGTATGTACAAAAGAATGAGTAGAAACTTTATCCAAATCTTCACAGTTTGAGGTATGTGAATCTCAATTAGATACTTCAGCAGATAGTGAGGTATAGGTGTGGCGAATTGCTAGACTCATTTTTTTGGACTCAGAGTAAGTGCGAAGTGAGGGCAGGTAAAGGCTATCAAGATGAGGTCTGTCTTTAATTTGTGTCAGGATTTTAATTTTTGTTTCGTTATCTAGTGCTGTTGTAAAATGAAACTAGACTTGCTATTCCAGTCTTAAAAGCTAAAGAAGTTGACTTGTGGAAAAAAGTTTGGAAGCAAAACTATCATTTTTGGATAGCTGTTATCTTCAAGGGCTATTAATACATGTGCCTGTAGAATCTAGAAATTCAACTGGAGTTTAGATCTACTTCAGGAAAGTTAGCACTGTCTGACTAGTGTTCATGCTTCCAACATTGTTAGTACGTTTTGTATTGTGAGCCTGGATCAGTTGCAGGTGATGTCTATAGATCTGTATCAGTGGCTGAAATCACTTCCTGTCAAGTGAAACGTTTTGCTTAAGAATGTTTGCATACATTTTCCTTACTTACATATTCCCTTGATTTCATTTAGCTTTTATGTTAAGTAATGAAATAAATTTACCAAATAAAATCTAGTTGATAAACTTTCGATGCTAATCATGAAGCAAAAAATATCCCGCCACCTTTCTGTTAACGCATTGTTAATGCATAGTTTTTCTTGGTACCCAAGGTTTTGGAAGGTGACAGAATAGTTTTGCAAATGCAGGATGTACACATGAAGCTTGTGGGAACTTGGGTCAGGTAGAGAAGCAGAGAGATGTAGGTTATGTGAAGATGAGAGCGGCAAAAATAACACTAATACAGTGTAGTTTGGGACTGTCTACATTGTGGTTTTTTAATTAAACTGAAGTTTATATGATCCCTTTGGTTGAAATGCTAATGATCCTACTTTGTATAACAACTAACCATTTTAAAGAGGAACTCTTATTCTCAGCCAAACTTTTAACTGTGAAAACTCGAGTTTACCTTTCAGGCATTGATATGATGTTTTTTTCTTCCTAATCCATTGCAGATAAAGTAAATGCAAAACTTTTTGTCCCTTTTTCTCTCCTGTCTATTCATGCTAATGGGGTTTTACTTTAATTAAGCTTTTCAATCACATAATCACACACTTCTTTCCCTGTTACTGTGAGTTGGCAGTAGGGACAAATGGGCAGAGGGACTGGCCTTACCAATTACTTTGCAAACCTAATGGTTTCGGGTAAGAACATAGGAAGGAATTCCTGAAAGGTAAATGGATTTCCAAGAGCCTATTCACACTTTTATTATTTTTTGACTGAGCACAAAAGTTCATCTTTAAATAGTAGAAATAGCTGCCATATTGGGGTGGGTATTGAAATTAAATAAACCTGTGGGTTGTCTTGCTGTTCCTAAAGTAACACACCAGTGAAGTTTGGGAAATACTTTCTTTAGAAAGTGCCAGTGTCAGGACATGTGATGCAAAGACAAGATTTTTTGTTTTTTTTCCAGCTCTTAGAGGAATGATAGGAAGCTTGAGACCATCCAAGCTGCTAAATATTTTAGGAGCCTGGTTGTGTTAATACTTGAACATATGAGCAGTCATTTATGATGCAAATTCATATCTGGCTGCTATTTTCTCTTTTCCAGATAGCCAAAATTGTCTGCCAGAGGGCTTTTCATTATTTCTGCCCCCCCGCCCCCCTCCCCTCCCTCTCCTGGTGTGAGCATGATCAAACAGCAGGACTTAGTATAGCAAAGAATAAAACAAGAAAATAAAAATGCATGAAACCTCAGTAAATGGGTTAATAGACATAATTTAATAAAATTATTAGTTTAATAATCTTGAAGTCTTAGATGTTAAGTGTGAATGTCTGATTGAATGAGACTCCTGGAAGTTAGTTAGTCCTACAGTAATGTACTCACATTTTGTTCTTCTCCAATTTCAGTATTATGGACTGCAAATCTTGGAAAATGTGATAAAAACAAGATGGAAGATTCTTCCAAGGAACCAGTGTGAAGGTAGGGAGGGATTTTTGTCTTCTCTGAACATTGTGCATTAACTGAGCTTTAGACAGTCAGTCCCCATGTAAGTAATTTTCAGCTTCAAATACAATTAGCCTAGTAACTTTTTGTCGTGTACTAAGACCATCTGTACTTTTATGGCTAATGAAACCATGTCTTTCCCTTTTGTGATGATGGTCTCAGTGGGGTGGTGAGCACTGGAAATTCTCTAAATGTCATGGGAAGGTAAAAGGTGTGACATAGTTTGGAAACATCATCATTGGTTAAGTGTTTTACTGACTTGCAGGCCAAACTTACCTGAAGAGGTCTAAGCCTAGACAGCTTCTAAGGTTAGCTCCTGGCTTTGAGGTGGAGGTTTTGGTTCTCTGTACTTGGCACAGGAGGCCCTTTTCAGCCTAGCAGGGCTGTGTATGCAGCCCCACCAGTGTGCTGTCACTTTTCTGGGAAACTATGTGGTCCATCTGGTAGCATGTGTGTACACTTATGTAACTTTTTTGACATTATAAATAGTCATAATTATTTTAAAATAGAAACACTAAGTAAATGCAGAGTCTTACCTGTTAACAGTCGTCCATTCTTTTGGGCAGTGAGATGCCATAAAGTCAGCTTTAATTCACCTAAGTGTATATGCAGCTAGATTGCTGTCATTTGAAGTGCAGTGTAGGGCAAACCCCAGTCTTATGTCATTGCAAGGAATTTGAAAGTCTTGCAATAAATGATGTGTTTTGGGTTTTCTTTCCCCTCCCTCCTTCCCTGCAATGTTTGTTGAATTTCAGATGTTGGTTATGGTAAAAGGTACCTCTCTGGTACAGGGTTAGTGCTTGCGCACGTAGCTTTCTGTCAAGTTGTGGTAACGTGGACTTCAAAACATTAAGTACAACTGCTTTTAATTCTTGACATTGAATGTTGTCACCTTTCTGTTTGGAGCTTATTAAATTTACTCCACATTTCAGTGTTCTGTGAGCTTTTATTGAAAAAGCTGAGACACTTCAATTTTTTACTGCCCATGCTTAGGTTCCGAAACTATATTGATAAAAACGTAATTGTAAATGTTGGTTAACACAAATGTGTAGAGGGAGACTTCCACATTTTTGTGGTTATTGTTCTTACTTTCCTCCCATCCCTTCCAACTACAGGTTGACTGATAAACATAGCTCTTTTTTGCCAGTGTTAAGGTTTCACAGTCATTCTGCTGTTGGAAACAGACTTGCAGGTTTCTAGGGAACAGCTTCAACTAAGGCTCAGACACAACTATGCCCTTTTGAGAAACTAAGGGAGCACCCTCAGGTTAAGTCTTCTGTGTGCTTTTAATTAGAGTATCTTAATTTAGTCATATTTTGTAACGTTTCTGCCTGTGAGTGTTTGTTTTCAGCATTTGGAAGTTTATTCTCTGAATGTTTTTGGCTGTGGGAGCAGAACAGGAAGAAAGTAAGGAGTTAGTAGCTTGAAGCAGTTACTCTGCTTCCTATTGCCCACTTGGTGAAGGGAGGTGTAGAACAATAGGAGATGTCACAGAGGTATTGACCTCTGAATTGATAGTTTGGAATTGAACAAGTGCCAAACACAGACTACATTTCAGTAATTATAAATCTTAAAATGACACACTCTTAATGCATAGGAAAGATGGGAAATAGTGGTGGTAGGATGAGGTTGCTTTGTGCTTTGGGTCATGTTATCTCCATCTGTTCTTGAGATGCTGAGATAATACCGGATATGTGGCTTAAATGAATTGTGGAGCTGATATATTTTTAGATTGTGTTTTAGATTTTTGTTACTTTGCTGTCTGCAGGTAGCTCGATAGATTACGATGCAATATAAAGTCACTGTCTGTAGTTGTGCAATGATCTTCAAGTATTCTATTCTTATTTTCCCTGACTTTAATACTTCTGAAGACTCCAGAGGGAAAACCACCTTCATCCCAACAAATGTGGGTCTTCAGTTCAATCTTTTAAAATATTTTCCTTTTCATAGAGCCAAAGTAAAATTGTGAAACTGACTGGTATCCTGATGTTTTAGGGGAATTGAGTTAGCTGGCTTTTACTTGTCTGGTTTCTCTTGTATGTGAATAGAAGAAGAACCAAACCTATTTAGTATACTGTGGCATTTGATCTATCTTGGCAACAGTGGTGTAGGAGGGAGCAACAGTGTTTCATCTCAAATGCAGTTTTATCTGGTCTGTGGTGGTGGTTGGTTTTTGTTTTTTTTGTTTTTTGGCTGGTACTAAAGAACTGCTCCAGAGCTCATTCAGATGGTTTGATTACCTGGGAGATAAAAAGACTGGTTAAATTGAGGTTTCCTTGATTTCCTTTAGTTGACAGGATTTTCCTGTTTAAAGTGTAAATAGTAAAATACGAGTGCGGGGAAACTGAAACTCAATATAACAAAGTGATGTTTAGTAACAAAGCAATTTATGCAGGTTATAAATCAGTTACTTTTAACATGTATCCTTTAACTTTTAACTCTTTTTAACTAAATCAGTGACTTTTAACATGTATCATCTTTATAGGACTTAAGGTGTTTCATTTGATATGTACAGTAAATACAGCTGTCAAATCTTACTTATGGTTAAGATGCAACAATCCATTTATGGGAAAAGACTGTTTTCCCTTTGTAGTAACAGCAGTCTTTAAGAGTTGAAGTTAAGAGCAGACCTGAACTGAGCTGGCAGTGAAGGAAGAGGCTTTTGAAGCAACCTTCCTGAAATATCTTGGAGAACTAAAACAATGCCATTAACTGCAGAGCTTGACCTGTAACCTTTTTTGATTTCCACCCCCACCCCCCCAGCTGTACCTGAAGTTGTACATCAGAATGACTTGTTGGGCTTTGAGGTTATCCAGGGCTTCATTATCACTTCTGTCTGAACGTTGGGAAGTTTTAGCTTCCAGTCTGGAATTCCAGATACAAGGAGGAAAATATGTTTTCTTCAAATCTGGCTTTTGGACTTGAAACTCCATTCTTAAGTTTGATTTATTTTAAAATAGCTTTGGGTCTTGAGCTTTTCTGGCTCTGGTACTTTTACCTTGTAAAATGTTCTTCTGTTCCTTGGGTGTCATTGATTGTGAAGGTTGAGGGTTGTAAGCATTTTGGAGAGTTCATCTATATCTTCCTATAACTCTAAAACAGGGAATGAATTTACCTTTTTAAAATACTTTTGTGGTTACTCTGTTTTTTCTCGTTCTTAATGTTTTTGGGTTCCTTTAGTGGTTTGAACCAATTTGTTATTTAGACAGAAGTGGAACTATGGGGCACCGAACTGATAAAATTCAGTTAAATCAGATGCATGGCCTGTATGTTCAGCCTTGAGACATGTTTAGTTGTAGACAATAGCAACAGGTTAGACTTGCGCTTTATAATATATTTAGTCCTTAAGAGAAGTATTGCTTTTTTTATGTGTACAAATCATGTAATGTGGCTTTCAGGCAAACCTCACAGAGGTGGCATATTCAAGAACATCCCATACAGTGGTGAATTTGGCATATTTCCAGAGTATTGTACTATCATTCACAAGTAAAAGTTACGAGTTTATTGAGGTGATACTAAATTGCTTTAAACTGATATTCTGTAGAGTTGATTGTTTAATAATACTTACAAAGGATGTAATTTGATTAAAGTACTATGGTCTCAATAGGATTTTCTCTGTGTGAAAACCTGCCTAGAAATAAAGGCTTCTTGGTCTTCCAATTCAGTGATATGTTTCATTAATTCTGCAATGTGAAATGAAATTCTGTTCCCTTGAACAGAGCGAGCTTGTCTTGGAGTGTTTTGAGTTGGAATGGATAAGCACTTCTTCATTATGAAACCTGAATTACTTATACAACTTTTCTGTGATTTGAAATGGGGAGGGGAAAAAAAAGCAGTGTTCAGAGATATGCAGTTTAGTGGCTTGCAGGAGGGTGTTGGAGTTAAGTATAAAGTTTTTGATGTAGTGGAAGCTGCTGTAGAAGAGGTTTTTCTGTGGAGGGATTAGATATTTTAATAGAAATTTCTGGCCTGCTTCATGAAGTTTTTTGATTCTCTAACGAAGGGGGAAGGAGCTACATGGCACTTTAGGGGGGAGGGTTAAGACAAGCTCCATGCCCTTTTAAAGAATTTTCTTTCTTTTTTTCTGGTTGAAAATGGGTTGATCAGGTTCACCATTAATGGAGAAAGATGTTTTGTGAGACATTATGGGAAAGCATTGTTTCTTAAGACTTAAAGTAAGATGGTATTTTGACCACATTTTGGGACTACTTGAACAGTTTAGAAGTGTGTATGCAAACAAACATCCCTGGAAGGGACAACTCAGCTTTAGGATTTGGAATTCTAATTTTGGTTGCAAAACAATGTTAATTTACTGAATTATATCATCCACCTGCTGAATTTATGCCTCTTATTCTTTAATATAAGAGGAGAATTTGTAAATTCTAGGAAGCTAGTGTAAACTCGCCTCAGCAGCACTAGCTAGAATAATTTGCAATGCTTTTCTTGTGCTCTGTAACTGCATGAAAGGATGTGCTTGTATGTTTTAAGTACAAGAAGTGGTTTTGTCTACAGGTGTGTACTTGCTGGCTGTGTGCATTCGTGGTAACATTGTGTATTCAGTCACAATAGGGACTCCTCCAGGCTCAGATTACACAGCCTAGATGAGATGTAATTGCTTCTAAAAGCAATCCAAAGATTAAACTGTACGATATTTCAGATTTCTGAAGTTCAGACTGAAGAATTTAGTAATATTGGATAATGCGATGTTATTTCCTGTCCCGTTCCAGCTCTAACTATTGCACAGCTTGAGTCGCCTGTGAAAACACTTTCCTTCCAGAAAGTGCTTTGGTTTCACAGCTCTGTCTCTGTAGAGGAGCAATTTTCATATAAGGACTATAATGTTCATCCAGAAACATTGCAAAAGCACTTGAATTAATGTCTTTGCTCTATCTTCTTTTTTTTTGTACTTTGCTTACCAGAAAATGCTAACAGTGGTGCTAGTCAAGGCCTTCTGACAGTGATGATGTCCAGCTTTTCTGATAACTAAACCAGTTTGAGGTTGGAGCTAGACCAATTTACTGAACTGCTGTGTTCCTCACTGGTGCACTTTCTGATGCCTTTGAGCCAGTACTGATGCTTCTCTGGCCCTTTAGTGCACTGCTTCAGGGAGCTAAGCTGGCAGAGGATCATTTCAAAACAGTTTGGAACTTTTTCAGTAACTCTGTTCTATTTCAGCCTCTGAACAAGTTCTTGAGCATGTGCTAGGACTGCCAGTGCTGTCTTGAAGTTTTAGAATGAAAAAACAGGATCTGTTCCCTTTGGTCACAGGTTGTCAGGTGATCAGTGTAGTTGCAGTGGCAGACAGCACTTGAAGAATGTTGCTTGTGTCCTGGGTATTGTGGTTGGGGGTTTTGGGTTTTGCTTTTTGGTTTTCTTTATTGTTTTATTGGAAGGTTTTTGGGGAAGTTTCTCTCTCTGTTTGTGGCTCAGTGAAGTGTCGGAATGTCGCAGTTGCAGTGTTGTCATCTTCAAGACTTGCTCAGCTGCTTCTGTGATTGAAGGAGACTTTCTAGGCAGTGCTTGGGTGACTCGTGCATGTCCTGTGCTTGCCTCCTTAGAAGAACACTACCCTTTAAGTTCTCAAAACACTCTGATTTTAACAAATCTAATGGACTACTACCCTTGAACAGTTTCTTGGACGTGTTCTGCTGAGAAATGAGACTTCCCTATGTACTGTTATTTGTCAGAGAATCAAGCTGAAATAGCTTCATTCCACTGAGAATTATCTTTCCTATGGAATGATAAAGAAATGTGCTATTAAATGCAGACCAGAAACCACAATACATCATTTTTTTTTTTTTTTTAAAAAAGTAGAAAATTCTATTTCAGCCAAAAAAAAAAAAAGAAGAAGCATTAGAGAATTGGATAGCTGCTACTTTTAAGGGATTAAGAGTGTGGCTTTGTTCACTGGATGGAAGACCTTAGAAGCCTGCGGCATGACATGTGAAAACTAGCAAACTTTTTAGGTTTGGGGCTGTGGTCACTTTTTTTTTTTTTTTTTTTTTTTATTTTTTTACACTCACCCCAGTGGAGAAGCTTTGGAGCAGAACAGTTGTTTTCATCTGTTGTTCTCAAAGCCAGACCAATGGTAGCACAAGGTTCAAGTTGTAGCTAAACAGCATAATGCTGTTGATGCAGCGAGATGGAGAGTATGTAGCTTTGAAGTCAGAAGTCTGAGAACAATAGTCACTTTCTAATTGCTTTTTGAAATGTGAAGAGTTGCAATAGTAGACTTCCCATAGTGGTTTGGTGGTTTCTTTTTTCTGGCACTTCAAACTTATTTCCATACTATTTTGGGGGCTTTCATATCTCATTTTGCTGAAGCATTACTGTAATTCATAATTGTATGTGATTTAGCTTCAAAACACTAGGACCAGGGCTATGGTGTCAAACTAATGCTAGTGCTTGGTAATAACTCTTACCAACTGACTGACAGTGATCCTTTTTGTTAATGACCATTCTTCTGGAGTAGTATGGATTGATCCCAGTTGATACTGATGAATGGTTTCATTTGTAATTGGAACTATTGGTAGAACAGCTCCTGTCTAGTATGTATCTAATGGCTCAAAGTTTAGACCTAGTTTTATCAGATTTCATGGAATGCAGTTACCAGACTGTTTCTCTTAATGCTGTTGCTCAGGCCTGAAATGCAAAAAATTGACTTGTTTCTAAGATTTTACCAGAATTATCTTAAACTTTAGAATAGTGGCTACAAGAAAATGAAATGTGTTCAATGCAAGGTGTTGTTCTTGATGAAATGACAACTTTTTCTGAACTCGTCAATGTATGCCTTTTGTCTGCATCAGTCAGTGGGCTGTCTTGTTGAAGAAAAGACTGAAACCAAATTTTGGGTTCATGAAGTTGAATAGCAAAACACACACACACCTATTCTAAAACTTCCCTTAGACAAGAAAACACTTGCCTGGGTTGAAGTGTTTAATCCCTGATGTGCTCAGAGCGATCAGTGTCTCAAAGCTATGTTGCTATGTAGTAACTATTAGTAATGTGTCCACCTAGTTCATGACTCCAGATCCTTGTGTAGGTCTTTTCTTGAAGTCACGTGGTGTTGTACAGAATGGTTTTACATATGTGTATTGTGATGAAGTTGCTTGGAAAGCCAGTGTTTTCCATGTCTTCTGTAATAACCTTAATGGTGAGGAGGGAGCTGAGGATTATGTGGCAAAGTGAAATTTTAGGCAGTATAGTGTACTACAGTGAGTTTTCCTGTTTGTTTTTTTGGTGGTGGAGCCGAAAGCTCCAATTTAAAAATATTTGTAAAAGAAACATGAGAAAATGAGTGATTTAAATACAGTCTATACCCCCAGATGACAAATTGTTAATTTAAGCAAAAAAAAAAATCCTGGAACAATGAACTAAAACTTTGCTTTCTATAGCATCCTTGAGTGCTATAAAAGCACAGGAGTCCAAATCCAAGTGCCATGTACTATACTGATGAATAAAGTTTTAAGTTTCGTTCTTCTAAGATTGTGCAGGAAAAACTTAAGCTCTAGCATGGTATTTCACTTAGACTGCATTGGCATTCGTGTGTTTAAAATGGATCGCCTAAGTAAACTGGAGTATCTCTGAACTCTTAAATATAGTGAAAATGATGCATCAAGGCTTTCTGTGCAATTCTAGCTAACTTGGCATTAAAACTGGAGTCATGCTTAGAAAGCTGTCTTCTTGGAGTTAACTCTCTATTAATAAAGTATTAGTTAAAAAAGATGGAACACTCTTTGAGTCTTGCCACTGTAAACATTTGGCTGAGGCATTAATAATATATCTGCCAACTGTGGAGTTGGTATGATCTGAAAATGCAGAATGGGTAGAAATATATTTGATCGGGAGCTGTAAAGCAGCACTTTTAAGTACCTATCACAATATATGTCAGAATCTGGACAGTGCTGGGTGCTATCCTTCCATCTTCAGCCTAACACAGTGGTGTGCAGTACTACCAGTGCAAGCTTTCTCAAAATTTCTTGCAGCCTTTAGGAAGCTGATACATTGATCTGGTGCAAAATGCTACAAGTAGACTCTAATCCTTAGTTAGTTTTCCTTTCGTTTTATTGAAATAGCTTAAGTGTAAAGGCTTTTCTTTACATCTGAAGTATCCTCTTGCAGAATTGATACAAAGGTGGATTTTTTTTTCCATGTAGCACACAAGTCAAGAGGGATGCTCTCTGAAAGGCAAATATGTTCCTTAGAGCTGTTTCTTTTTAAAAACGTGGAGAATCTGACTTCAGAAATATTTATTATTACATGCATGATATCTGGCATAGTTGAAAATAAATTCCTAACTTTTCTGCAGGTATTAAAAAATACGTTGTTGGCCTAATTATCAAGACCTCATCTGATCCAACATGTGTAGAAGTAAGTGAATTCTTTTCAGGGGAGGAAGAGGGAGGGGAATATTATGCATAACCTGACTCTTTTCTTCTCTTCCCTAGAAAGAGAAAGTATATATTGGGAAACTGAACATGATTCTTGTTCAGGTAAGCTTGAGTTCAGAGTTTTAAATTTTGTTATAAAGTCTTTGGCTTTATATATGTATCTAACATATGGATGCTTCACTTTTCAGATACTGAAACAGGAATGGCCAAAGCACTGGCCAACTTTTATAAGTGATATTGTGGGAGCAAGCAGGACTAGTGAAAGCCTTTGTCAGAACAATATGGTGATCCTTAAACTATTGAGTGAAGAAGTGTTTGATTTTTCCAGTGGCCAGATCACCCAAGTAAAAGCTAAGCATCTGAAAGACAGGTAAACCTACATATTTAAATCTTATTTAAGTAGGGTAGACTTTATGCTTGCTGCTGAATAGTTGGCCTCATTTTGAGCATTTGAATGAACACCTACAGCTGTCTTAATTTGATTGCTGCGTCTGAGTGGGTTACTGATTTTTCTTTAAAGCAGTACTGTTAGGTGATACCAAACTTACTTTGTACACACAGATATTTCTGCTGTATTGCAAGTAGCATCTGTTGACTGATAGCACCTGCCCTTTTAACAGAGCATTCAGCATTACTTGTATTTCCAAGCACAGTTTGCAGTCACAGGCTTCAAGCTATTTCAAAACATGTATTATTACCATGAAAACGGGTAAAAGTCAGATGACATATGAATACATCCACTGATGTAGGTCTTTGAGATCTGTTCTGTGAGTGTAGACATTTTGGTTAAAGTCTATAGGAGTGTTTATGGAATGTGTAAGTGCTTATTTTTAAACAATTTTTTTTTTTTTACAGCATGTGCAATGAATTCTCTCAGATATTTCAACTGTGTCAGTTTGTCATGGTAAGTCTTACTTCATTCATGATATTATTAAGAATTCCCCCATGTTGCTTAACAATGTCATAAATACTAATGGTTGTTTACAGGAAAACTCCCAAAATGCTCCTTTAGTTCATGCAACTTTGGAAACTTTGTTACGATTTCTGAACTGGATTCCTCTGGGATATATATTTGAGACCAAGTTAATCAGCACACTAATATACAAGGTATGCAAAAATTGATGGTGTTAAAGTAAAAGTTGCAGAAAAGTGCAACAGTCTTTTAATAATTTTTTTTTTCTTCCCTCAATAGTTCTTAAATGTTCCCATGTTTCGAAATGTCTCTTTGAAGTGCCTCACAGAGATTGCAGGTGTCAGTGTAAGCCAGTATGAAGAACAGTTTGTAACGCTTTTTACACTGACCATGATGCAGTTGAAACAGGTAATGTTTTCTATAAATCTTTTAGCTGTTTCATTCCACGAAATCAATTTCTGTGAAACCTAGTTCAGTTTACAAGTTGATACTCATTATAGAGCTCTTGATAAGATAGATACTGTTATTCAGTGGTATTTATGGCTTGATCAAAAGATGCTAAGTGTATTTTTCTGACTCTAGGTCACAGCTGTATTTCTGCTGCATTGATTTGTTTTGATTAATTAAAGAGATGTTTTGAACACTCAGGCAGTCTGATGGGGAAGGTTGAGAGATGCAACCAAATGTGTACTGCATCACTCATAAAATCTCAACTGACCTAATTTCTGCAAGTTGCTGTTTAATGTTTGAAACTGATAGAAACATTTCTCATAGAAAGCCATGCTTTAAATTTATATAATTTGATAATTCTTCTCTGAGCATTTCAGATTCAGGTACATGAGTTTGTAGCTTTCCTCATTGTACTTGCATTTTAAGCGGACAGCTGAAGGTTGTTTTGATGGTTTCTTTCTGTTTACAGTGTTGGTCTTGGACCTTCTTTAGAACAGGCATGCTGCTTTTAATGCTCCCCTCTTTCCCTACCTTTAAGTGGAGCCATAGGATTTTTATTTAGAGTTAAATTTATTTAAAGGCAGACTTCTGCATACACCAAAGTTACTTTTTGCGGCTGAACATTATTTTCTCAGGTTTTACAGGTGATGTTACTGATTCTAAATCCCAATGCATCTGGCCTGAAGTTTTTTTTCTCAAAACATCAGTTGAATGCCAAATTGGCTATTTGCATGTTTTGTAACTGCAGGTTTTTAGCATGACTGTTGCATATGGATTTGAGGCGAACTGTTGCATTTATTTGCTCTCTCTAGCTTTGTAATAAGTGGGAGGACAATCAAAACCACACAAAAGCTGGCAGCAGCAACAGTGTTAAACTTCTCTGTTCTATAGCTTAATAGTGTTGAAATGTCGTTCACTACTTGATAACAGTGTAGAAAATGTTTTGTTTGTATAATGATAGTTAATGCAAATATAATGATAATTCTATCAATTCAAAAGACAACACGTTTCTTAAGAGGTGCTGGAGATGGTTCAGTATCCTTCAGAGTATTCCCTGTGAATTTCTAAATGTCATGGAGGAGGTCTTTCATGTTGTTTTAACATCATGATGAGTAATGTTTTGAAACTTAATGTTACTGAGGACAGGTAACAAACAAATTTTTGGAACATCTTTGCCTGATGCCAATTGGAAATGTTTGTGATGGAGTAGATATTTTTCTTGGTTGCAGCTGCTTGTTACAAGGAGTAGAAAAAGGTTTAGTTGATGAGAATGTTTTTATCTTTTTGCATTTTTGCTTTACTGTCCATCTTGGGATCAAGCATGAAAGACTTTTGTAAGAATGCTCTGTAAAGAGGGGATGCCATGAAAAAGAGGGCTCTTTTGGCAAAAGAGCAAAGTATTTGTTAATATATAGTAGTTCTACTTCTCTATAAAATGGGAAGTTCTTGATTATGTCTATTCTTTTTATTAGATGCTTCCTTTAAATACCAACATCCGACTTGCATACTCAAACGGAAAAGATGATGAACAGAACTTCATTCAGAATCTCAGTTTGTTTCTCTGCACGTTCCTCAAGGAACATGGTCAACTTATAGAAAAAAGATTAAATCTGAGGGAAACATTAATGGAGGTAAGTTGCACAATTAATCCAGTTTAAAAATGTAGCAACTAAGTTCTCACAGTCAAAGGATGTGATATTAATGTGATCTGTAGATTGTTTGACTTAAAGTGGAAAAGAAGAAAAAAATCCTAGTTTTGTTCACATAATTTGTACATCGCATGCTAACAAACTTTTTAAAATTTTTGTTAGCATGCTTCAAAGTACTAACTCATATCAAAGTGCTAAGAGTTCCGTCTCTATTTTCAGTGATCCTGTACTAATACAGTGTTTGAAGATTGTAGGTTGCTAAGTCTCCCTCTTCTTACTTGAAAGTGTTTTCCTTGAAAGTGTTAAATACTGCTTTTAAATAAACTCGTATTCTTTTTCTGTGGGTCTTTACATGCTGTACTTTGTTTAACTCTGTTGCAGAGAAGGTGTTGCTATGATTTTCATCAGGTTGTGTGAAGCAGCTCAGCTAATTTTTTTTTATTCAGCATCCAAAGCCTCTTTCTAGAGCACAGCACATGCTGTAGTTCAGTGCTTCTGTCCTGTGGTGTAGCTTCTGTCCTAATTTGCCATTTCCCAAAGCTTAACTGAAAAGCTTTAAGTACAGTCTTCAAGGGTGGTAGTCTGTTTCTGTGTAAAGACAATGTATGCCAGCAATGCTTAATGGCAGAGCTCTACCAAATGTTTGTGTATACTTTATTTTGTGGTATCACTGGTCTTTGGAGGAGGACCTATGAGCTTCAGTTATCAGCTGTTTTACAGCAGTTGCTGAGAATAAGATTTAACATTTGTCCTTCTTTGCTTATTTCTATCTTTTCTGGAAACTGCTGTTTTCTTTTGAATTTTGACAGTGAAGTTGCACTTCACTGTCAAAATTACTGGGATCTGTGGAAATGGTTGGAAATGAAGGGTTGGAGAACCTTAAATTCTAGGTGACTACTAAACTCTCAAGGTACTACCTCATACTTGTAGTGAGGCTAGATCACAAAATTAGCTTTATTCAGTTGTGTATTTTAAATCGTGAATAAAAATTTTGCTGAGGGTGCGCTATTCTGTGGTAACTCTTTTGCTAGCTCCCTCCCACTGCTGAGCTCCAAGGGGATGAAACTGGCTCCATAGCCCCTTGAAGCACCACTGCCTGTACCCAGAGTCAAGCCCTGTGCAGGTACGGAGGCGATAGGGTGAGGTACTGCTCTGAGACAGAGGTAGAAAGACATTACCACAGCTTCAACCTGGAGACCAGGTTCCATTGGGAGGGGGAAATGCATCTCAGAGGTGGATGAGCCATAATCAAGCATGTTTGTCTGAATTCTAGTCCATTTTTCAGTTAGTATTCTCAGTACATTTCTTCTGGAGGTAGCTCTCTGCAAAAAAAAACATCTTTAAGTTGGTTGCAAGTACTGGATTGTAGCTCATTTAGGAGGTGGATTAAGATGAGTATCACTTTTTTTATATTTAAAAAGAACAACTATTAATAGTTCCCAAATAATTTCTGAACTTGCAAGTCATAAGCTTTAAAAATAAGTGTGAAGTGGAGGAGCACAGCTCAAGTTTCTACTTCTTTTGAGGTTTTATTAGGTAAACCTGTGTTAGCAGTTGAAGTTGTTGCATGTTCTGTGCAATTGTGTGTAAGGTGGATAGCATTTTTTAGTTACCAGCCTCCTCTCTTGTCGGGTATAACTTTGTTAAATTCTTCTTTAAAACTGACATCTACAAGACTTAATTCTGAATTACTTTGAGTGTTGTATAGTATGTTGAAATGTTGGACGAAGTTCTTAGGATGGCCTAAATGGCAGCAAATTTCACATATTGAAGTTGCGGTGTAACAGAATGTAGTTGCCCAGTTAAAGTTCTATGTAATTCTGAACTCTTTATTCCTGCACTTTGGATGTATCAGATCTTCTGAAATTGCTTCACAGATTCATTGGAGATGTATAGATTAGTGAAGGAAGCCACATAAGTTATTGCAAGTGAAATTACCAAGAAAAATCGATGTGTGTAGGACTACGTGTGGTTATTTTGAAGTCCTCTTTGCTGACTCAGGTCTTTACCCTCTAAAATGCTCCAAGTTGCTGTAGGGCCTAAACTGTGAAAATGGTTTCAAATATCATTGTTTCATTCTGTTTCTTTGCTGGTGGGCTATTGATTTAATGTCTTACACCAGGGGACTGAAAAATAAGTTAGGAAAAAAAATATTTGGCTATGTAGTTCTAAGTTCTATGGTTGGTATCTCAGACTGTCAGAATTGCATCAGTGGCCTTCCCTTCTCAGTCTGCTGTGGCTGTTCTGTCCATAAAGAAATGGAAAATGTTCTGGCAGATGGTATCTGTGGACAGCAGGTGAGCAGTGTGGCTTTGGTTGCCTTCACTTCTTCAGGGTATAAGGATCCAGAACAAAGTAGTAGTAATATTCTTGAGAATAGCAGTCATTGTAACTTAGCTGTTGAGTGGTTTTGAGGTTCTAAACCAAAATGCCTTGCAGAAGCTCGAGAGGCAGTGATTTGGATAATTTACAAACAGTCTGATTTGGCTGTGGCATTTTTTAAGATGTCTTTAGGCTACTTTAGATTTTAGAGTTGATAAACACTTTGAAAATAACAGTAATTGATAGGGTGATTATGTTTTTAAGTTGCCCTGCTGTTAGAACTCTGTGTAAGTAATGTTATTGCAGGGTTAATGCCTCATGTTCCTAACTTTTATGTTAATTTGGCATTTTATCAATATTTGGATAACTGAACTTGAAGCAGTGTTATTTTTATCTAAAGAAAGAACAAGTAATCAGATGTTTAAACCACACTTTTCCAGGCTCTTCATTATATGCTACTGGTATCAGAAGTTGAAGAAACTGAAATTTTCAAGATTTGTCTTGAATATTGGAATCATTTAGCTGCTGAGCTCTACAGAGAAAGTCCGTTTTCAACATCTGCCTCTCCATTGCTTTCGGGAAGTCAACACTTCGATGTTCCTCCAAGGAGACAGCTTTATTTGCCTGTATTGTCCAAGGTAATCCATGCTTAAGTAAAGGTACTGTAAAGACTTAGATACTGTTCCTGGATTCGAGGTTTTGCTTCATGTAAGGAGTGTTGTAAGAAAACTTCTCTTGCTTTGAGTAGTTGGTAATTGATTCAACTCTAGTTACTTAATGTGCTGCAACTGCAAAAAAACTTCACACCAGTATACGACAGGAGTATTAAGAGGGTGTTTCAATTTAAGGTACATATTACGAATGTAAGACTAATTTTTTTTTTAAAAATAAACCTGTATTCAGCTGTTACTTCTAATACATAAAGGCTGTAGTGTTACGGGTGGGGGGTGGGGTGGGGTGTAAGAAAAAGTGGTCTTTAAAAGACCCCTAATACTACATAAACATTTTGAAGCTCTAGAAAGTATAATTCATATGTTGGATTTTGGTTTTTTAATTAATCAGCTTGATCAGAGCGAGAGAAATCAGCAGGCTCTATTCTCAATGGCTTTTTTAGTTAACATGTCTATAGAATTTAAATATGATCTGAGCTCACGAAGAGCTGAATATATGCCCTTTGTCTTTATGATTCAGATGGCCTGACCAGAGTGCTCTGGAAACACCTGTGGAGCGATGTGTGTATCTTCATGTTACTGTTTGATTCAATTTTGTTTTTCCTTTGCAATGTACAGGTTCGATTGCTAATGGTTAGCCGTATGGCTAAACCTGAAGAAGTCCTAGTTGTGGAAAATGATCAAGGGGAAGTAGTACGAGAATTCATGAAGGATACAGATTCCATAAACTTGTATAAAAACATGAGAGAAACATTGGGTAAGTGTACTACCTGGTATTTTTGTGCTGTAGGTTTGTGCAGCTGTGCCAGCAGTGTGTATGTTACAGAATGTTAATTTATGAGCTGAATGCCTGTGTGGCTAAAATGATTATCAGTGAGGAGTAAGTACACGGACTTGAAAGGGAGGGAGGCAGTGTTGGTCTGAAGTTCTCTGTTTTAAGCAGGTAGTGTTGTATAACTTGGTTACGTAGCAATAGACTACTTAATTTTTTGTCTTTTGTTTTCCCATTAAACAACATCTGCTATTCCTTTACCAAGTTGTGTCAGATTCAGTAAAACCTTGTTTTTGTCAAAAAGCCGTTAAATTAGAAGGACTTTTCTGAAGTGGACTTTCTGGTTATTACTTCACTTGTAGTTCTAGTCTTGTGTAGACCAAGCACTTCTTGGCAAAAATGATTTCTTCCTTCAACAGGTCTTCTAAATACCTTTAAAAATTTTGTAGTATTCTTAAACAAAACACAAAATTCTGGCCTGAACTTCAAAAATCTTGCCCAAAGTTGGCGCTGAGGTATTACAGCGACCTTGCTTGGAACTACAAAAGCTGCAATTAGTTAAATATCATGGGGGGGGGGGAAGAGAGCGTGCTGAACTCCAGAATCCCTATTTCTTACAGCATTTAATATAGCAAATATATTTTATTTTTAGTGTGTGTATAGTAGCATACTACTATATTATTTCAAAGTCTCATATTCAACTTGAGACCAGTCTGTCACAGAACTGATAGTTTCTCTGTTTGTAGTGATAACTCTGTTTTTTCTGAGGCAAGAAAAAAAAATTGAGTCCTGACGGCAACTTGAGGGAGTGTGGGGCCATTAGAATTGTCATGTATTGAGGACATAAAGCCTTCAATGCTAAATATTTTTTTTTTATCAAATGCAAATGCTTCAAGGGAATACTGAATGTTTAACAGGTTTATGAACTAGGGGTGGTGGGACAAAACTGATGTCAATGTGGAAATCTAATTCTCATCTTTGTACTTGTGTTATAGGTATGGCCAGTATTAATTGCTCTAATATCTCTTCATATGGAATGTGAAAAAAAAGTTTGATTTATTGTATTAAAAGTTTCATTAATTATATTAACATTATTACTGTATGTCCTGAGTTTTAGTCATATTTCCAGATACAGGATTATTTACATGGAAATGTAGATTTAGTCACTGTTTGATTTCTGGTGTTAACTATTGCTTACAGTGTACTGGCTTTAAGGTTCACTTCATGGGGGAAAAAAAAAGAATGTGGTTGAAGCTGTATTCTGTGGCACATTAAAAACCAATTTCTGAATCTGGCCTTAAATTGATTTTGACTTACCTGGGATTTAGAAATTTTGTACTGGAGACTCTAATCCTATTAGGGGCTGATGCAAGTGGGTTGAGCTGTGGTACTTGAATCTTACCCTTTAGGCTTGTTGAGGAGTACCATCTCCAGTTTAATGGTGGGTTATTGCAACCAGCAGGCTTAATGACACTGAAATAAAGAGCAGAAGACAATTGACTGACTTTGTACATGTGTATAATGTCCCCCATAGGTAGCTAATTCCATACTCTCTGTAGACCATCAGTATGTGTGTCCTTTTTTAATCATTGAACATGGCAACTTTACTGATTTGATGGGTGAGATGTTCATTGATGTAGACTTTTAACATCACTTCCATGTGATGTTTTGCTGAGATCACTTAGAAAAAGCATAGATTCTCAGTAAAATTTATTGTCTGTCTTTAAAATACAGTTTTAACAAATTCACATTTGAAGTATTAGCTCACTCTGTCATGAGTTCAGGAGAGAAGCATTGCACTTACTTACCAATTTGGTTGTAGTTTTCTTAAAACAAATTTAACTTTGCCTATGGAGTTGCGATCCAGGTTATTCCTTTAAAATGTGCCTGTTCAATGTTGATGTCTTTCAGTTTATCTTACGCATCTGGATTATGCAGACACAGAACGAATTATGACTGAAAAACTTCACAATCAAGTGAACGGAACAGAATGGTCGTGGAAAAATTTGAATACTCTGTGTTGGGCTATAGGTTCCATCAGTGGCGCGATGCATGAAGAAGACGAAAAACGATTCCTTGTTACAGTAATTAAGGTATCATGGTGCAAAACTAATAGCTTTGTCACACTTTATAGTTTGTGCTCAAGAAATGAAGTTTATGATAATACTGTTGTATGTTCTTAGTAAGCTATCTTGAATGGCAAGCAAGTTGATAAGACTGAAGTAATGAGTAATCTTACATCCTGAAGTTAAGGCTGATAGATTATTTAGCCGTGAATAACGCATTAATCTAAATAGCCTTTTCACAGTGAAAGTTTCAGGGATAAAATTCAGTTTATGATGGACGTGTTTCTCTTTAGGGATGCAGATGGAAAGGGATAGCTAATGAAATAGTGGCAAAACAACCCACGCTTTTAACTAGCTGGTGCCCTGCTGTTTTACTGTTTTACAAATGTTGATTGATCAAACTGAATTTTTGGTAAATAAGTGTACAGAAAGGAGTTGAGAAACAGAACACTTTTTACAAGAGTAATGTACCTTACCTTAATGGGTCATATAAAATCTGAAGATTTAGTGTAATCTCTTATTTGCTGTAGAATTTATATTGACATCAACTGCTTGGTCAGTGTTCAGGTGCTGTGAGGCTTGTTGGAAGTTGCCCCTGCAGAAATCTTCAGATATTTTTAAAATGGAGATTCCATAGTTGAAAATACAGTGTTCCTGGTTTGGTTGAAACATAAAGCGTTGCATCACCCCAGTCTCCCTATAGGGTTGTTTTGGGGGGTTTTCTGTTAAGTGTTTGGTTTGGTTGTTTGGTTATTTTTCCCATTGGACTTTGAACTTGATTATTGTACTCACTTTCTTTTCTCTTTAATCTGTAGCTCCTTGTAGGATTTTATACTTTGCTGTGTTTTGCTTTTAATTGAACTGCACAAACTTGAAGAGGAACTAAAAATATGTTTTGTTGTAGGATCTCCTGGGACTCTGTGAACAAAAGCGAGGAAAAGACAATAAAGCCATTATTGCATCAAATATAATGTATATAGTAGGTCAATACCCAAGGTTTTTGAGAGCTCACTGGAAATTTTTGAAGACAGTAGTCAACAAACTGTTTGAATTTATGCATGGTAATTATCTCTTTTCCAGTTGTTATTTTAATGAAAAAAAAACGCCCATATGTGAGCATGTATTGGGGGGGTGGAAATACAAAGTGGTAACTAACTTCATTTAATTTAGAAACCCACGATGGTGTCCAGGATATGGCTTGTGATACCTTCATAAAAATAGCACAAAAATGCCGCCGACATTTTGTTCAGGTTCAAGTGGGAGAGGTCATGCCATTTATTGATGAAATCTTGAACAATATTAATACTATCATCTGTGACCTTCAGCCACAACAGGTATGTTTAATTCAGCATTGTGCATAATTCCTAAAGACTAACCAAAAGCAACTTTGTGTTGAAATGTAGTAGTGGTTTTGAAGGCTCGAGTTATATATATATTTCTTATTTTTTTTAGTTAGAATGCTTGGAAGGAGAATTAATGTGCATTTAGTCTGAATTTTGATGAATGGAATGTTTTAAGAAAGTAGTTAGACACTGAATCTAATTTTGTGGTTCTGCTATGGGAAAGAGTAATATCCTACTAAAATATACTATACAGCTCTTGTTTATGTGAAGGGGGCAGGGAGGGAACAATCCAAAGGCGCCTGCATCTGGGAAGGGCACAGCTCATGGAAGTGTGAGTGTAGTGGGCACATGTGACACACTGAGATGTTGCAGTAATGTACTGAAACTTTGGGCAGGGTGGTTCTGGCATCTGGAAAAAGGCACTTTTAAAGGAGTGATGTAATTGAGCCCATAGCTGAAACACCTCTGGTATCATTTAGTTAAGAGTTAAATGGTGTATGTCTTGAACTTCTTTACTGCAGGATATGATGGCAAAAGAAAGAAAAGACTCAGATGGTGGGTATAGAGTAGTAGCACTTGAAGGGGATGGAGGTTTGTTTTGTATGTGATGAAAGGAAGGAAAGAATGGAGGAGGTTACTGTAAATTTAAGGTGTAGGGGGGAAGACATTTAGGCAGTAAAACCCTGTTTCAGCCTTTACTGTATGTGAGGTCAAAGAAGCACAGAATCTTCCTCACCCTTTTTTAAGTTTCTTGTGTGACTTGTTGTTCTAATCAGGTGCATACATTCTACGAAGCAGTAGGATACATGATTGGGGCACAGACAGACCAGACTGTGCAGGAACATCTGATAGAAAAATACATGTTGCTACCTAATCAAGTATGGGACAGCATAATTCAACAGGCAACAAAAGTAAGCTCCTAAATTTTAAGTGTATCTTGTGTTCAGGTAAAGAACACCTGCTAAATGCTTCTCTTAACCCTGGGTTTATTTTTCACAGGGCATGACACTAGGGGTACAGAACTAGTGGACTTTGTTGAAGGATGGCCAAAGCAAGGATTGACTTAACGCTAATAGTGGTGTTTTGAGAAAGGAGACTTAAATAATAAAACAAATACTGATTTTAGTATGATTCAAATGGCAGTTTTTTGTTACTGTACTGAATGTTTTGATAGCTTTTCCAAATCTCCCTTTCACCTGGCTAAGAAGTGGGTTTTCTTTCTGAATAACAGAAAAATGAAAATGCTAAAAATACTGTTTGCTCTTCCTTCTTTCTCTTCCATCATTCTCTTAAAGTACATCTTCATTTCGTCTATTTTCGATTTCTTCCAGTCTTTTCAAAACACTTGACAAATTAAATAAGTCTTACGCTGCTCAAGAGGTCAGTCCATTTGGAGTTAATCTAATTAAAAATCTGAAACTTGAACAAGCTTGACTTAAATTTCTTACTCTGTCTTCTTTAAAACAAGAGCGTACTGCCTTCCCTTTAGACGACTTCTCTGTTTTCCCCTTCTTAATATCTCCTTAGCTTTTTTCTTTCTTCAACTAAAGAACAATGCTTGTACCACTGCAGCAAAAACACTTCTGCAGAAGAGCAGAAATCAAATGAAGTTTTATCCTGACTCTGAGATAGTGGCAAGTGCTGTGAAGTAAACAGCAGTGTGTATATTAGTCTGTAAGTTTTAGTGATATTTTCTTTAACACAGCATCTGAGATAAGTTACTTAAACTTAGACTTCTGTATTGAAAGCTAGAGGGCAGTTTTATTCACTAACCAAAATGGACTTTTTTTTTAAACAGAATGTTGATATTCTAAAGGATCCTGAAACAGTTAAGCAACTTGGTAGCATTCTGAAAACCAATGTAAGAGCATGTAAAGCAGTTGGCCACCCCTTTGTGATTCAGCTTGGAAGAATTTATTTAGATATGCTGAATGTGTACAAGTGCCTAAGTGAAAATATTTCTGCAGCTATTCAGGCTAATGGTAAGAAATTCCATATTTTTCCTGAAAATGGGGGTTAGCTTTGTATGCCATCAGGTTTCAGAGTACATTCCAATTAGGGCTAATCTTACTGTGTTAATTTTATTGTTTGGGAAAGTGGAGAATGACTGAAAGTGCATGCTTAGATTTTTTTTTTTTCTTTTTGTAGACCAGATATTTTATTCACATACAAAACTCCTGATTTTAGAGAGAAGAGAAACACCTATGCGAAAGCTGGGGGAAGATGCAAACCACCATAGATGCTTACTTAGAATTAGTAGGCATCTTTCTGAGACAGAGTTGTAGCATATGTTCTTTTAGCTTACTCTGATTTTTAATACTAAAAGACTAAATAGGATCTTGTTCGATTCTTTCAAAAGAAGTTGGTAGGGTTTTGGTATGATACTTGGCTACTAAATAGCTTTATTACAGAAATGTGACTGTAGTGAAGATGCATGAAGGTTCTAATAAACCAGGTTTGTAGTCATTGAGAAAGGTTAGGTTATTGTAATTCCATTTCTACTAGATAAATTAGGGCCTATGGCATCTCAGCAGAGTGTGCTTCTGTAGCTGTTCATTACAAGACTAAAGGAGTCATTTACTGAGTTCTGTGTTATGACCAGTTTTCTTGCCAGTGCAGAGAAACAAAACTTGTTAACTGAGCAGCTGGTTTACCTTGAAGTGGCTTCTCAACTTGGGGAAAAAAATGGCTGAGAAATCAATACCTTTTGATAGTGCAGCCTTAATAGCCAGGATTTGGCCTTGTTGGAAACAGTCAAGTTCAGGAAGCCATTGATAGGACTGCAGTCCCGACATACTACTTGATCAGCAGCTACTGGGATTGCAGTTGCCTCAGAGTGCATTTTTACAGCCAGCTCTATCTTGCCAGAGATAGGTCTCATGCCAGCACAAGTGATCCTACCTTTCTTTTTCTGGCTGCACTCTTCAGGTTTGCCTGTGCATGTAATGGTTTTATGGCTGTGCAGTTAATTAGATCAGGTTTTGCTGATGAGGGGGTGAGAAACTGAACTAAGGATAAGGCTTCTTAAGGCTAAGTGTTGACATGAAAACAAGTGGAAGGATTATTTCTCTTAGACGAAATCAGGAATATTCTTGTTCTCTCTCCCCCCATCACTTAATTGAGAACCAGATGTAAGTCCAGTCCACATAGTTCAGTGACTGTAACTTCCAGTTCTTGAGAAGTAAGTTTGAGCTTTGTTTTTAACTTGGCAAGTAGGAAGGTACTGTCAGTACTAGTTTTGTAATGCTAAATGGCAGCTTGGACCTATGGAGCTAGAAAGGGGAGGTAGATTTATTTTATTTGCACAAAATGCATAAGAAATCTTTAAATAGTCTTTGTAGTTTGGATATAAAAATCAAGCATTCTCTGTTTTTGTAATATCGATTTAAGTTGATCTTTTAGTTACACCTTGCCCAATTAACTGAAGCTTTAAAACTTTTCAGGTGAAATGGTAACAAAGCAGCCCTTGATTAGAAGTATGAGGACTGTAAAAAGGGAAACTTTGAAACTAATTTCTGGCTGGGTGAGCAGGTCCAATGACCCTCAGATGGTAAGTAGATTGATTTTTTTTTTTTTTTTTTTTTTTTTTTTTGGTACAAATAACTCGTAAGTCTGAATTAGGAGGAACTCTGTTTTTTGTTCTATTGTTGACTGAATCAGTTGGTTGCAGCAGCTTGCTTCAGGAGATCTGTAAAATAGAAAGGAAAAAGCACAATCATAAAGAGATAAGCCTGAGCTACATTTGAGATGCTTCAGATAATTTTAGGTGAGAGTTAATTTTTCAGGGAACCAAGGAGCTTTAAGAAAACCCTGTTGGAAGCCCTGCTGGATGGAATCAGAGGGTTGGGGAATTTACAGAAGTGTAATGTATTTCAGCTTCCTTAGGAAAATGATCTCCTGCAACTAAACTTTGCTACAAACTGTATGTTAGAGACTTTGCTCAATAACTGCGTTGCTATAACTGTGGCTTACTCTTCCAATTAGGTAGCTGAAAACTTTGTTCCTCCGTTGTTGGATGCAGTTCTCATTGACTACCAGAGAAATGTGCCAGCTGCCAGAGAACCTGAAGTACTTAGTACTATGGCTATCATTGTAAACAAGCTGGGTGGACACATTACTGCTGAAATACCTCAGATATTCGATGCTGTTTTTGAGTGCACATTAAATATGATCAACAAGGTATTTATTTTAAATTTTGGATAAGGCATCTCTCTAGTGACTGAAGACAAAAAAAGGACCTTTATAAGAGAACTAGTCTTGAGTGTTGGTACATCTCTAAGTGAAAGATGTAATTTTCTTGCAAGGAACTGAGGCAGTATGTAATGAACATAGTTATTACACAGCTTTCATCTTACAGAAGTTAAGCCCGGGGTTCATGCCATCTTTCTGAGGATGTCATTTCCATATGTGGTGTCTTGTGGATCATCTCCCCTGTTTTTTTTCAGTCACAAAGTGCTTTTTTTGGCACTTGAAATCTCTGCTCAAACGAACAATTTCGAAGTTTGGCTGTCTAGTTGGATATGTTCATCGCCTTACAAATTTCTCTGCTTAGCTCTTGATTTGAGTCATTAGTAATTTTTGTTCTAGGGACTTGGAAAGTTGTGCTGCTGGAAGCAGAAGTGTACTTCAGCCAACTGTCAAGTGTAGGACTAACTGCTAAAATTCATAAATAGTTAAAATTTATGAATATAAGTGCTGATCAGTCATTTTGAGTATTTTCTCATTAATGCAGTTCTTATGCCATAGTGTGCAATGTCTATTTGCATAATACTCAGGCACTACAAACTGAATTAGTGCTACTTGGCAATAGCGTGTAGCCAGAAATTGTACCCTTGTAGCAACACAGGTTTGTATATAGCAACCAGTGTTGAGGCCATTTGTCTGTTTATCTGTGGACTGAGTAGTGATTAAGGTTGTGCACTGGCGGAACGTGGCTCAGCCTGTCAGTGTTGTGTAACTCTAGAAGGTGGTCTTACCAAGCTGGGGGGTGGGGTGCGGGGGGGGTGGTGGAGTGGAACTGAGGGGAAGACTTCACTGAGAGGTTGTAACCTTTGCTTTGCATTTAAGGTTATTGTAAATCTGAGGTCTAAATGCTGTTCTGCGTCAGTTATTGACTCGCTCTACTTAATAGAAGACTTTATGATGGATCTTTAGGAAATTTGATGGTTTTTCCCCTTCTCTTTCTAGGACTTTGAAGAATATCCTGAACATAGAACAAACTTCTTCTTACTGCTTCAGGCTGTAAATTCTCATTGCTTCCCAGCATTCCTGGCCATTCCACCTGCACAGTTCAAGCTTGTTCTGGATTCTATTATTTGGGCTTTCAAACATACAATGAGAAATGTTGCAGATACAGGTAAATGGAAGTGTTTAATATGCAAACTTAGTTTGCAGCAGCGGATTTTTTTTGTAGATTGTTGTTTTCTTACATCTTTTTCTTCAGTGAAACCTAGTATTCCAGTAACACAATTCTGTACTGAATTTGCACAAGAAAAATATTTTTCTGTCTCAGCTTCAAGTTGTCAGCCAGGTGTACATGAATAGGCAGAAACACTTGGATGCTGTTTCACACCTGCAGCAGTTAGAGAGTACAGCAGTGGTTTCTGCTTGCTTGCTTTTCCATGGGAGGGTTGGCACTTTTTGAAATGGCTGAATTGATGCAACAGCTCACTCCTGCTAAAACTGGTGTTACTGCTCTGCTTTTGTTGTGCTGCCTGCAGTGTTTGACAGTTTGGGAGTGAGCCCATGACACAAGGAAAGGGAAACACTTTAGAATGTTAAGGTGGTGGATTATGCTTCCTTTGGACAACAGCAAGCTGTATAAATTTAGGATAAACTTCCACTGAGCAGCTGAGTGTATTGCCTGATTTAACAAACTTGGCTAAATAAAAAAGCCTTCCAGAATAAGGGTGATCAAGGATAAAAGGAGAGGCTATATAAAAAACTTAATTCCAAAAAACATTGTTTTTTAATATTGTGGGCTTGCTGCACTATCTTTACTGGATAAAAAGGTTGTTGTGAAGCCACTTAGCTTTTAGCCAGTTCTCTTGTATCAGTGTTTGGAAGGGATGGGGATAAAAGCTATCTTTCAGTTGCATATCACCTAATAAGGTAATTATGTTTTTATGTAATTTTAAAAATGAAAACATTTTCCCTTCTTAAATTGGCAAACACTACTTTTGGTAGAGGATTTCTTTTGCTGCTGCTAGTACCAGTAAAGTGAATGTAAATAGTTCTCTACCGATCATCTACTAGTGTCAATAAAATCGGCATGCCATGTCAGCGTGGCTGTAGCCCTCTAGTGACTACTAGAGGAAATGCCCGAGAAAATCATTGCATGTCTAATACTTGTCTTTGTGGTGCCTGTCAGAATTCCTTGGGATATTTGTATTGTTTTGAAACAACATGCATGGAGTCTTTAATGTTGTGCTGTTGGTAATTTTTTTTTATTTTCCAGGACTTCAGATACTTTATACTCTACTACAGAATGTTGCACAAGAAGAGACTGCTGCCCAGAGTTTCTATCAGACGTATTTCTGTGATATCCTTCAGCACATTTTCTCAGTGGTAACAGACACCTCACATACTGCTGGTAAGAATGCACATATGCGACCCAGTTGTTGAAAACTAACTTTTTGAACATCAAAATGTTATGCGTCCTGTTCCCAATAATAACTGCATATATATAACTCTGATTTGTTCAGGTTTGACAATGCATGCATCAATCCTTGCATACATGTTCAACTTAGTAGAAGAGGGAAAAATAAGTACTCCATTAAACCCTGGAAATCCAGTGAACAACCAAATGTTTATTCAGGAGTATGTTGCTAATCTTCTCAAATCTGCATTTCCTCATCTGCAAGAGTAAGTCTGCTGTGATTCTTTAATGCTTTTAAGGATGTTCATATGTCTTCATATACTAATTGATGTGTCTGCTGTTAGTGCCCAGGTTAAGTTGTTCGTGACAGGACTCTTCAGTTTAAACCAGGATATTCCTGCCTTCAAGGAACACCTAAGGGATTTTCTGGTCCAAATCAAGGTATGTTTGGCGTGGGGCTTTTTTATAATCAAGAAATGAAAAATTATTTTTCAGCTGGATGGTGGTGTTAGAAATGACTTGGACACCATTCAGTGTTTGTTTAGTTACGTTGCAGCTGTTGAAAATGTAGTGAGAACTCTGTCAAATGGCTTGCATGGCTGTGGCATATCATATCTATTTTGCTCTGATTTAATTTTATAAATTAGGGTTAAACGTAGTGACATGCTTTATGCTGTGCATACAATTCCTATGTTTAAGGTGGCTGCAAAAGCAAGCTTATCTTTGACCTGATTTTTTCAGTTCTGCTTGGTGTCGGGACATGTTTTGAAACTTGCTAGAATAAATGCTATGCCTTTTATTTTTCTAAAGATGCTAGAATTCAGGGAGATGATAGGAAAGAGTTAATTAATTTTGAGACTGCAGTTGTCAGGTATTTCAGAATTGTAGTGTACTGCTTTAATGGTGATACACTCCCAATGCTATGTTACTGTAGCATCCTATTCTGTAGCACATAGGAAAATCTTAAGCTATTTTGTGTTCTGTTACATTAATTCTAACCTTAGGAACAGAAAGCAAAAGAAGCAAATAATCTGGCAGGGAATGTGAAGGGAAGTTGTTTTCTGTATTGTTCTGGATTCTGGATGTTTAATTACTCTGCCTAAAGCATTTGACAATTAATGATTTTATGTGAATTATACAGGAATTTGCAGGTGAAGACACATCAGACTTATTCTTGGAGGAAAGAGAAACAGCCCTTCGGCAGGCTCAAGAGGAGAAGCATAAACTTCAGATGTCTGTACCTGGCATCCTTAATCCACATGAAATTCCTGAGGAGATGTGCGATTAAAAAACGAAAAACAAACCACAAACAAGTTTTGCAGTTTTCTTTCTGTACAGCTACTTTGTTGTCATAGAAGAAAACAGCACTTGGATATTTGTTGACCAAAATGATGCCAATTTGTAAATTAAAATGTCACCTAGTGGCCCTTTTTTCTTATGTGTTTTTTGTATAAGAAATTTTCTGTGAAATATCCTTCCATTGTTTAAGCTTTCGTTTGGTCATCTTTATTTAGATTTGCATGAAGTTGAAAATTAAGGCATTTTCAAAGTAATTACTTCATGCCCATTTTGTTGCTAAGGGGAAAATAGGCAAAACATAACGTGTAAAAGACTATATTGCAAAACAATACAATTTCCTGTAAGAGTATTGATTTCAAATTTGGGAACATTTTCCTTCTAGTCTGTCCTGCAGTCTAGGAGAAAAGGTAATGAGTAAAACAGACTAAATTGATTGTTAAGCAGAGGATTATAGTGCTGCATTTGTTTTGATCAGTTAGCAGCTTTTTGGACTGAGTGGTAAGGCTAGGCTACATGTATTTGCAAGTTGTATGGCAAGTTTGCAGCAAGATCATGTGCATATCATCCCATTGTAAAGCAACTTCTAAAGAGTATGGGAACACAGTACAGTTAGTTATTTTTACACAGTTCTTTTGGTTTTGTGTGTGTGCTGTCGCCTTGTCGACAACAGCTTTTTGTTTTCCTCAATGAGGAGTGTTGCTCATTTGTGAGCCTTCATTAACTCGAAGTGAAATGGTTAAAATATTTATCCTGTTAGAATAGGCTGCATCTTTTTAACAACTCATAAAATAATAAAAAAAAAAACAACCTCTGGCTTTTGAGATGACTTATACTAATTTACATTGTTTACCATGCTGTAGTGCTTAAAGAACACTACTTAAAAGCAAAATAAACTTGGTTTACATTTATTTTTCTTTCTTTGGCTTATTCTTTTATTGGATGAAAATGCTGTGATCTTATTTAAGATTTGTATCCTGAAGGCATAGGAAAAGTTCCTTGAGGTCTGGATAACTGTTGCTTCTGGCTTGCCTCATCTCAAGGACTTTGGCTGTGCTTGAGGTTAACATGATCTAAGTTGGGTTCCATTTGGAAGTACAGTAGCTGTTCTGACTTAGCTCCAAGAAATATTCCATACTACGTTACGGAAAAATGCCAGGAGTAAGGTACTTTTGCGCTTTCTCTCTCTCTGGACTCTCTGCAATTTATTTCAAAGAGGTATTGCACTGTATTGTAACTAAACAATTAATACCAGAACATGTTAATAACACATGTAGACAAGATCTACAGTTATTTTTCTACCTAAAGTTTTGTAGTTAAATGATTTTCACATATTTATGAAGTACGGATACAAAAAGCAGTATGAACACTAAGATTGTGTACAGTCTTGGCTTCCCCGTTTTTGTAATGTCTTGTCTCTGTTTTCTAACACTTGATGTTAAACTCCCAAAGTTATTTTTGATCTGTTTGGTCTCTAATCTTAAGGTTTTTACTACAATGCAAAGTATAGCCATTCCTGCAGAGCTGTAAAACAAGGTTAGATGGTTGTGGAGGTGTTCTATGTAAGCTTGGATACTGTAGTTAACTTTGTGCTGTATATTCCTTTTGAAGTAGAAGTGCATGAGTTAGCAGTGTTCCTGTAGAATTTAGCTGTGACCAGAATGTTTCCAGTCTTAAGTATCGGGCCCTTCCTGTTTGTGAACGTCTCTCCATTTGTTGTACTTAGCTGGCCCTAAAAACACGTAGCTGCTCCTGTGTGAAGATCGTGTGGCAGTGTTAATACTGTGAGCTGGCAGCTGCTAAATCTTTGGAGAGAAGGTTCCTCAGACCCTTTATGGCTGGGACTTCCAATACAACCAACCAAAATCGTTAATTATTTTGATAGTTACAAAACTAGTCTCCTTCTCTCCTTAAAGCTCATGGTTTTAAGCTTTTCCATGTCTTCCTGTCCTGTTGATGTATAGCTTTCTGTTCTGCTCTGTGAAGGCAGTATCATCTTTAATAGGTGGTTTAAAGTAAAATACTTGAAGTACTGTTGAAGGATGAATCCAGAATGGACAGTAAATGGCTTGTGACCAGGCTGAGTCGCAACACTATAGAGCTACAGATTGTCAAAAGCTGTGCAGACAAGTAAGAAAATCTTATTAAGATGGAAATAAATACCATGGATAGCATAATGTCAGAATGCTCATTATCCCATGAGTTGCAGAACTAAATACTGAGTTGGTTCTGACAAGCAGTGGCATTAACAGTGCTTTGAACAAAAAAAAGCAGTATCCTTCTGTGCATGTTACTACTTTTGTCTTTAAGATTCAAGTTAGTCTGAGGCTCGTGGTCTGGTGGTTTAATGAGGAATTAAATCTGACCTAAACTCTCAAAACAACAAATAACCAACTGTATTTTTAAAGTTGATTCAGAGAAGAGTTGTATCATTATTTTGATACCTTTTGGTTTTATATCGTTTAAAAATTTTAATCTTAGTTTTTGCTTCCCTTTTAGATCTAACAACTTAACTGTGGTCTTGACTTACTATCTTAAGAATCGGTGCCTTTCAGTGATCTCTGCAGATGCTATAAAAATGCAGCTTATGCAGAGTTCTGGATACCATTTGACTTGTGTGTGTGTGCGTGCGTGTGCATATTTCTAGTGCAGTTATCCTGAATGTGGAAAAAATTACAATGTACATCTAAAAGTTCTAGTTCTAATGCACACTCTGTAAATGAAAATATATGGATAAAAAGCATGAACCATGATATGAACATCTACGTAACTTGTAATTATATGTAAGCCAATGTTTTGTGCATATTTCTATACAGATTTTTCAAAAAAAATTCCAGTTCTATGTACCCAGGTACATTCATAAATACAAATATTACAGGGTGTTTTCTGTGTTTACATGAATTGATTGCCTGTTAGCTGATGAAGACACCCTCAAATACTTGTTTCAGGCTACCATGATGTGTTTGCTACTGTAACTGAAGCAGATAATTTTCCAAAGCCTTTTAGGTTAGTTCTGTTTTGTTTTGTTTTTTTATACTAGAATAATTTGGTGTGTGTTAATCTGATTGGTTAAGTGAACTATTTTCCAATAAAGCTAATATTTATGCAAAAAAAGCTTTAGAAATCCTCATCTCTCAAGGAAGCTTTAATATGTTTGGTAGTTTTTAGCACGGGAAAGGCAGCAAGAGTTCAGCTTTGGGTTTCTTAGTGAAAAAAATAATTAGGAAAAGATGCTGAAAATCCTATAGAGAAGGTGACTGAAGTGAGAAACTCACATTAGTGCTGAGTTGTGACTGGGGACTGGCCTGTTCCATAGTCCATTATCATTGGAAAAAATTATTATTACTGATCCAAGATTTTTGGGGTGCTGCTTGTGTTTCCTGGAAGATACGTCTAGACTTTTTCCCTTTCTCCCCACCTCATAGGTTTGTCTCCAGATGTTATAAAGCAAAAATGAAATGAAATGTAGATGGCTTTTCAAAAAACATTTTGGCACCAGGAACGAGTAAAAAAAACATAGCTCTCCCTTTGACTGCTCTTCATGAATGCACCTCTGCACTTGATTTTTTTGAGACTGAAATTATTTTTAGACTCTCAGGTTTAGGAGATAATTGTTTCATTGTCCAAGGCTGATTATGGCCAGCAGCATTCTCTTGGAAAAAGGCTTAGCCATTCCAGTTGAGGGAATAATTTTTCAGGTAAGATTTCACATACGATGCACCTTAATTACTTAAGCACATGAAATCACTCATTTCATACATAGGTACCTGCCCTGTGTGCTGCTGTTGGTCTTTGTACATGTGTTTCTCACTGCCTGTGAGTGCTTGTTTGTGCTGTAAGTGGGTACAAGAAAATAGAGTGCTAAGCAAAGACGGGCTTGAGGAGGAATTTTTTGGAAGTGAAGAGTATGGATGAGAATGGTAGAAGTCAGATATGAAAACAAGACACATTGTCACTTTTATTTACTGCTTTTAAGTTAAACAGCACTTTTTCCTAGGCAAGTACATTGGGTGGTCTCTTCCAGGTCCTTCATCAAAATATGTTAAGGGGCCTGTTTGGGTTTTTTTGGGGGGGAACATCTTTTTAATCTTAACTCCTTTTTTAATACTGTCAGGTTTTTCTGAGTCTTGAGAAGTTTATAGTCTTTCATGGTTTCTCTAATTCCAGCAAAGACTATCAGGAAAAACTGGCCAATTGAGGTTGGAGAATGGGGGGAGGACTTAAAATAGTCTTCTCTGATGTGACTACATAGCAAGGCTAAGTGTGTGTGTGTGTGCTGCAAAGAGCTGACTGCAGCCCACTTACTATTTAACGTGTTTATTGATAACCAGGTAATAAGGAGTTCTCTTGTGGCCTCTCTTTAGCATTAGGTCTAGCTTGAGCATTTTTGCATCAACCTTTGTAACTGGTTTTACGAACTTCTCAAATACTTGCAATTATCTTGTGAACGCTCTCAAAGTAACTTCAACTGAATTATTAACCAAGATTGCAACCCAAGAGACAGGCTCGAAGATGCAGTCTGAAACCACTCCAAAGTGGAGCTTATCCTGTTTACCTGGCTGTATGGTGTGATTCTCACCACACCCAATAGCTGGTAATAATGTTTATTAGAATGCAGACTTCTATTTTTCTACTAAAATGCTGAGCAGCCAGTTAGCTGATTTTGGAGCAAACTCTTTAACATGGCTTGGCAATGTAGCAAGCATTATCTGTTCTTGCATGACATGTTTTTGGCCTAATAGGGCTATAAATCTTTTTGAGTGTGTTCTCTAATACTTAGGGTAAGCCAAACTAATCAAATTTGTCTTCACAGGGTGCTGTGATATAAAAGTCTAGTTTGAGTGAATCTCATTAAAAAGTTTAAAATGCTAATGGAGCAATGAAAGTCAAGTGCTGAAACTTAAAAGTGTGTAAATTTAAACTGATTCTGTTGCATTTCAGCCAAGCTTCCTTGGTAACTTCATGTTTTGCAGGCAAAGACCTGCTTTCTTTACTGAAATTAAGCATTTCCTAGGCAATGGAGTCCACCATTACCAGTCTAGACCAAAGGTCACAGATGTAACTGCACTGGCTGGAATTCAGCTTTTTGACATGATCCTCTGTATAGCAGAAATTAATGACTTGCTTTCCAGCTGTCACAGCTCCCATTTCAGCATCTGCTGAAATCACTGGTAGTTTTTACCTTTTCAATGTAAATCGTGGCAGCAGTGTAAGTGTGCAATCCATTCAGCTGTTGTTGCTACAGGAGTGGGAACCTACAGCAGAGCAACAGAAAGTTTGAACAGAAGATAATTCAGTCATCTCTCTTCAGACAAAGCTCTGGTTAGCCAACAAGACTAATGTAAAAAAAAAAAAAACTAAACCCAAACCTTTTAAGTCTCACGTTCCACAACTACCAGTCTGAGGTCAAATGACCAACTATGTATGTTCATATACAGAAAATGAAGACTTAAAAATACAGAGTGTGAGGCTGGGAGTGGCTGAAGTGTGAAGAAGGTGAGCACCTAATCCATCTCAGGGTTTTTGTTTTGTTTCTTTTGGTGAATGGTTAACTCCATCTTTACCTGAAGAACAGGACTACAGGATTAGTTCATCATTGGGATACAGTGTGACATTCATTTTGGCAACTATATATGTTCTCAATCTAGCCCTAAATTCAGTTTAAGAATTTCAGTTTCGTTCAAGTCTTGCATTTAAGTTACTCCTCTAGAAGAACTGTGCTGGCAGTCTACCAGAGCAAATATTTCCAGATTAGGAGCATGGCCATCAAGGGTAGCAAAGTGTGGCTCCTGGGGATCAAAGAACTTGGCAAGAATGGCCCATGAGGAGAGAATAAGGGTTGAGAGGGGGGAAAAAAAAAGCAATGCATGCAAGAGTGGGAGGCTGATGATCACTGTAACCAGACCAGTTA